CGGGGGGCTGCGTGTGGGGGTGATGCCCCGCCAGCCACTACAGCTCCGACAGGGCAGGCGGCACTCCAAGGAGCACGGGGTGTGCGAGGGGCCTGGCAGCAGAGCCGGCCTTCACTTAACCGATCGGCCTGCAGTCTGTCTGCAGCACCGCCGCCCTGAGGCTGCCACGGTGGGGCCGGACCTGGGCCCTGTGCACCAGGACCCTGAGCCCAGCCAGGCCCCACCGTGCACGGAGTGCTCAGGAACAGCAGTCAGAGGAGACGTCTGAGCAGAACCCAGGCTCCGCTTCTCCTCTGCACCTCACACGAAGCCAGCTGTGGATACAAATAGGAACCCGTGTCCCCATGCCAGGGGCCCAGGGCAACCGCCCCTGCAAGACCCACGTCTCCGAGCCTGCTTCCTGCTCTGTGAAATGGGATCATTACTGCACCGACCACGTGGGTCCTAACCACGGCGCAGGCTGCACAGGTGCTGGCCGTGGGGGCCAACGTGGATATTGTCAACGTCTCCATCACTGACGATGACAGGGAAGCACTTCTCCCTAAGACTGTCACCCGGCGAACAAAGGAGTCAAAGCGTTCTACCCAGGGCAGTCTGGGAGAACCAGCTACACAAACCGCTGGCCGTGGTATGGTTGGGGGCCACGCGGACACAGGTGCTTTGACATGGTGCCGCCCCAGTGACTACACCCCGCATGCACCTACTGGCTGAGTTCTGTGCAAGGCCACCACCACAGCTGCGGGCCGGCTCTCTTCCTGCCACGAGGAGCCCAGAAGTCGCCTGTCCCATGAGAGCCTGGGAAGAGGCAATCTCTGAACAAGCCAGAAGCCCATAGCCGAGCCCACTGGGCCTGACTCCACCTCTGCTCACGGGCAGGTCACAGGCTCCAGCCACATGGGGCTCATGGGACAGACTGCCCACATGTGGACAGAAGCTGCAAGGTGTCCGAGGTCTGCAGTCTCTGACTGGGGGACGGGCCAGTTTGAGTCTGGCGTCTCACCCACTTGTTATCGGCCTCCACATTAGCCTCGGTTTCCCACCCACAGAAAGGTGCAGATGCCTCCCTTCATGCACAGCTCTGAGCACCATGGCTAGAACACAGGAGTCAGGGAAACCCAGACCTGGCCTCTGCAGAGGCGGCCGCAGGGCACAGTTGGGACAGGGGAGCAGGAGGTAGCCAGGGAGGACAGTCACAGGCCACGCGGGGGTGGGGGGCTGCACACACCTCTGGCCACAGCAGGCCTGCACGCCCAGGAGAGAGGGGGTGCCGCACCGCCAGGGCCCTGCCCATTTCAGGTTCCCCCATGTCGGGAACGCTCCGAGGCCACCTGTTGGGGGAGCAGGCCTTGCTCTGGTGGCAGCAGGTGGTCAGCGAGGCAAGAGGCCCCATGCAGCCTGTTCCTGCCCTCTTTCCAACAACACACAGGAGCCGCTGCGCTGGAGTTGCCCTGGTGACCACGACGCCAAGTGACACTCACTCTGCCTGGACGAGAGCTGAGCGAAGCTGGGAGGGGCAGTCACAGCTCAGAAGAGCAGAAGCCTGGGAGCTGGAGAGCCCGAGGGAGCCGGGGCCTGTGCCTGCCCACGCGGTCTGAGTACTGGTACGCTGGCACTGCCCTGGGCCGCACAACCGAGGAGCCCGAGCAACACATATTTCTCAACTTCTCTCTCCTGTAACCTGAATGCCGGCAGCACTGGGGTCAGAACACCGCGGTCTGGGGTGCACCCAGAGGGCTGCCTGATGGCAGTGCCTACAGCCTTCTTCCCCACTGCCCAGCCAGCAGACCGGGGCTTCCGGCAGACGACCCAGCAAGCATTCTCCGTACTGATCACGGCCCCCTCCCAGCCACCCTGAGAGGGAGGGAGGCTTCCAGCCCCGGTTTATGGACAGGAAGCCAGGGCTCAAGGAGGCAGCAAGCCTTGCTCGACACTTCAAGGAGAGCAAGCAGCAGACCGGGGCTGTCCTCCAGCCTCTCCCACCCAGGTCCTCCCCACGCCTGGGGAAGACCTCTGCTGCTTTGGACACCGGCCCTCGAGGCTCTGTGCACGCAGTCCTGACTGTCCGGGGCTTCCTTCCCAACCCGCCCAGACTGCACAGACAAGGACAGAGGCTGTGGGCCGCCCCGCCCGGCACCTGAGCACCCTCCTCTGCAGGAGCGACAGCCCGATTTTCCCTGGGAAACCTGCTCGCCTACTCTGGGTCTCGGCGCTCTGGCCAGAAAGAGCATGGCCACGGCCCAGTGAGGGCTGTGCAGGGGGGCACACCCCCGAGCATGCCTGCCTACTCCTGTATGCCTCACTCGAGTGCGTGAACACGGTTCCTGCAGCACGTCTGCACTGCACGTCTATGCTGGGACTGTCCCGCGAGATCGGCTGCATGGACTGCGGAGCATTCTGGATTCTGAGCTGGGCTTAGGGATGTCACCCTGCTCTGACGTGAACATGCGGCCACAGTGAAAAGGCTGCGAATGCCACCTGGCACTGACAGATGCTGCCCCACGACGGCCTAGGCCCAAGGGGGGAGCTCGGCCCTCACACCCCCACGCCCCGGCGACGGCGCCTCCATGGTGGCTGGGGCTTGGTGAGCTGCACCCTCGTGTGCAGCCCAGCCAGCACTCGGCCCGTAGCCTGCTCAGCCCTTCCTGTGTTTGCTGGTCAGAGGGGGAACTGCACGGGCAAGGCCCCACGGCCCTCCCCAGCCAGTGAGGCGAGAGGATTCCGAGGGAGCGAGCAGGAAGTAGGCAGGGCTCGGCCGGGTTACCTCGTCTTCCTTCCACTCCGAGAAGTCGATCTTGAAGGAGGGCAGGGAGAACTGCTGGCTCACCCCTCTCTTGTAGTGGACGGTCTCAGATTGCAGAGGAGGGCTCTTGGGGCTGTACCTGAGGGGCAGCCAGGAGAAGGGTGGTGACCCAAGGCCTCTGTGCGGCCTCGGCCGTCCCTCCCACCTCTGGTCGCTGGGCAGGCCAGCAGCCATCTGTCTTGTGAGGGACAATAACTACAGGCCCAGCTCGCTCCAGAGGGTACAGGAGCAGCCACGTGGCCACGTGGCCCTCGTTCTTCCATGGGCCCCACTGCCTCGCTGCTCACTGGAGGCCTGCCCAGGTCAAGTCCAGTATGACCCCTCCTCCAGGCCTCACCCCTGCTGGCACCTCGCCCCCTCCCCTCTGGGCTCCTGTCACAGCTTGCTCTCAGACATCACAGCGCAGAAGGGGTGCACGCAGCGCCCCTCGCCGGCCGCCCGCTTCCCCGCCCTGGGAGACACGTGCTGTGAGCCAGCACGGGCCCGCCACCCCGCACCTGTGCCGACCACCTGGCTCACCCGCGCGCAGCCCAGACCACCGTGAGCTACGAGGGCCCCGCGGGAGTCTGAGTCGAGGCAAGCGTCAGGCTGGAGGACACTGGCAGTCTCTACTAGCTCACTCTTAGTATTTCCAGTAGCGCTTCAGGGCCACTAGAAATCCCGTACCCTCCATGCCGAGGCCCGCTTCCTCTGCCAGCTCACTGGGCCCAAGTGGTACCAGGACCAGAGCCACTGGACAGAGAGGTCATGGCCAACCCGGGCAGCCAGAAGCGCTTTGTCCTTCCAGCTCCTTCGCCCTGGGAGACACCTGTGCTGCACACGTGTGAGTAACCCTAAGACAGATGCGAGACCGCGATGGCGGGGCCAAGGGCAGGCCCGCTTTCCCTTCTAACCTGCTGCCCCCCAGGCAGGAATCCAACACACAGCCCTCAGCGGCCCCCTCTGCCCGCTCCCCACACCCACTGCTCTCCGGCAAGCACACGCACCTTCCACAAGCTTAAAAACTCAACAGGGGGACCAGCAGATGGCGTAATGGTGACATCGTTGACTCCCATGTAGCCGACCACGGTTTGAGTCCTGGACCCAATGGCTTAAAACTCAAGCCAGGTGTGTGTGGGGAAAATGGAGAAGGGATTGCGGCGTGGCCATCCCCCCGGGGGGTGATTTCTCACTTTCTGTCTCTCTGTCTCTCAGCAAGCATACATGCTCTAGAGCAAAAATCTCTTAAAAAAAAGAAAAGAAAAGAAAAGAAAAAACAGGACGGAGTCTAGAGCTTCGAGGCTGGACACAAGGCAGGCAGCATGCGAAAGCTCCGTGCCCTTCCCACGCGCCTCACTCCACACTCCTCTCCCTGGGAGTTCACTTGGATCTCTGTAAAACCCTCTGTAAGCAACTGACCTAGGGACCAGCAGTTGGCGTAATGGCTATGTCGCTAGACTCCCACGTAGCCGACTATGGTTCGAGTCCCGGACCCAGTAGCTTAAACTGAGGCCGGGTGCACGTGTGTGTGTGCCCAAGATCCTGAGACAAGAACGGAGAAGGGATTGCGGTGTGGCCCTCCCCACTGGGGGTGATTTCTCACTTTCTGTCTCTGTCTTTCTGGCGAGTACATGTGCCCTATAGCAAAAACCTCTCCAAAAAAGAAAGAGAAACCGACCTAAACATGATGCGAGAGCTCCACGAGCCGCCGTGGCTGATCGCCACACAGGACCGGCTCGTGGGACCCTGACTTGCAGCCGATTGGTCAGACGTGCAGACGACACACCGAGGCTTGGCACGGGGTGGGGCATCCCGAGGGACACATCCTTCCCCTGTGGGTCTTCACTAGCTCTGGTGGCTGGTGCCAGGACTGAGCTTAACTACAGGATACCAGGTGGCACCCACAGAGAACCAGAGGCGCTGGCAGAGGAGCGGGCCCCACGTGGGGGCAGAAATGAAGGCGGGGGCAGAGCAGTGCAGCGTCTCCTACTTCCTAACAGCGAGCCGGCTCGTGGGGAGCAGAGGTGGCAGCTCCGCGCTGCGGGACTCACACGGCCGTGCCGTTCAGGAACTCCTCCACCGCCTGGCAGTAGATGGTGATGGCCACACGGGCATCGGCGTCAAAGGTGAACTCCAGGCTGTAGAGCACCCGGGGCTTCTCGCTGTCCTCAGTGGGGCTGTCGGCGTCGTCCTTGTACCTGCACAGGACGGAGGCCGAGGCCGAGGCAGAGGCAGTGGTTGGTGGGTCGTGCCTGCGAGCCCGCCTCCTGCCCAGACACCCTGCTCTTCGTGCAAACATGAAGGCTGTTTCCATTTGTCCAGTCAGGCCTACAGCCCAGGGTCTGCCTTGCCTTTTCTCCCTGCCCACAGAAGCGGGTGGTGTGTGGTTAGCCCAGACGCAAGTAGAAAGCAGTTTCTAAGCTATGGAAACGCGGGCTGGCTCCACCTGCTAGATGCCAGAGCATCCAATCCCCGGCTGCCTCCCGTGCCCAGTGTCTCCTGGGGTACCCGGTTAAGAGCCTCTGGTTTGAAGGACCAAGTTCCACAGCCTCTCCCACCCTCACCACGGCAGCTCTGGGCCTGTGGCCCTGCCTACAGCCTGACTCCACACCAAGGGAAGCAGAGACGGGGACCTGCTCAGCGCTGCCCCTGCTTCTCATGCAGCACGCAAGGCCGTGCGCTGGGCTGCACGCACGGGGCGCCCCAAGCCTCTGGCGGCAGTCCCAAGTGGGACAGGAGGAGGTACCTCACAAGGCGGAGGGAGTCTTTCCGGATGTTCACCAGGCTCCGCAATGTCTTCACTGGCTCGTGGGGGGCAGGAGTGACGTAGGGAAACTAGGAGGGAAGACCCGAAGTCACCAGTGACGGCCCAGTGAGGCAGCAGAGGCACGGTGGCCGGCTGCTGGGCCTGGGCTCCCGCTCCACAGACACCAGGTAGGAAGGGCAGGACTAGACCTGCCCCGCGTGCATCAGCCACCCAGCCATGGCCCCGGATTCCACCACCTCAGCCGAGCAGCCAGCAGACGAGCCCCTGGGGGGCGGCCACAGTGGCCTCACGCCTCCTCTCTGTGGGCATGCTTGCTGCTGCCTCTGAACGGGCAGCGTCCTGCAGGGCCCGGATGGTCCGGAGACGCTCAGGTACACACACGGGTGACATCTGGGAGAGGGCCCGTCCGTGTGGCTTTCCTGCTGCCACACGGCTAGTTACCCCAGGGCTGCTGGGTGCGGGCACACAGGCTGCCCCTACTTTCTCAGTTGTGGGTGAACCTGCAAGGGCCTCAGAAGGAGATACTAAAAGACCTCGGAGGCGTGCCTGAGCCAGGCCCTGGGGAGATGTCAAGGACTGGGTCCCTAGTCTCATCACTGCCAACCCTGGAGACAAAGGGCGGCCCCACAGGGCCCACGGGTGGGGGCAGCACTCAGCCCCGCCCCGCTCTCAGGGCTCCACGTTAACCAGCTGCTCGGTGGCTCAGCCTGGTCTGGAAGACCCCAAGGGATGCTCCAGGGTGGGAGTTCCTACTCCTGGGAAGGGGCCTCCCTTGGCCATTGTCCTTACTAGAACCACTGGTTCGAAACTTCTGTTAGCAGGGCCAGCAGGTGGTATGGTGGTTGAGGCGCTTAACTCCCCCATGGCCGACCACAGCTTAAGTCCTAGACCTGGTGGTTTGCTTTCTCACTTTCTCTCTCTGTTGAGTGTGCGTGCCCTATGGCAAATTAAAAATAAAATAATAGGGACCAGCAGATGGCATTAATGGTTACATCACTGGATTCCCATGAAGTCGACCCCAGTTCGAGTCCCAGACCTGGAGGCTTAAAACATGCTGGACACGTGTGCAAGTCTGCCCGAGATCCCGAGAGGACGGGGGAGAAGGGATTGAGGTGTGGCCATCCCCCATGGGGGATAAATTCTCACCGTCGTTCTGTCTCTCCAGCAAGCACATGTGTCCTTCGGCAAAAATTTCTCTAAAAAACTTAAAAAGCAAAATAAAATAATAATAAAGTTACTTTTTAAAGAGGTTTTTTTTGTTTTTGTTTTTTGCCTTAAGGCCCATGTGCTTGGTGGGGGAGTGGGGGGCAGAGACGGTGAGGTGGAAAGTGAGAAATCACCCCCGGGGAATGGCCATGCCACAATTCCTTCTCCTCCAGTCTCCCAGGAGACGAGGCACACGCACGTGTATGCGCACACCCGGCGTGAGTTTTAAGTCACTGGGTCCAGGCCTGGAATAGCAACTGGCCATGAAGGAGTCCAGCAACATAATCGCTACACCACCTGCTGGCCCCTAGTGAAATAACTCTTGGAAAAAGACAAAAGCTCTGCAAGCTGTCCCCACCTGGCGACCACCCAGGCCCACTGATCTGCGTACACCCGCACTCGGGGGCGGCGGACTGCTGCTCCACCAGGCCCTTTCCCAGACTCCCACATCAGCTGAAGCTCCACGGACTGCAGCCACGCCTGCTGACCTCCGACCTCCTCGCAGGCAGCCTCCACGGCACACCCTGTCTTGTCTCCCAGCACCTGCCCAGGTTTACCAGCGGCCACCTGGCTGCCGGCCCTCACCGTCACAACTGGTACCCTCACCTCCGCCCCACACTGGCCCACAAAGCCCTGCTTGCCTAGCCTCAGGTCCACCAGGCGCCTCACCTCCCTGGGAGCTCCTCCTCAGGCCCAGCCCCGACAGCGGGTCCCCCCTCCATCCCTCTCCCCATGACCCACATGTCCAGCGTGTTTGCTGCTGTCAGTGCCCCCACTGGGGACAGGGCCTGACTGTGCCCCTGCCCCCAGAAGAGCCCCAGCGCATGGCAGGTGCCAAAGGTAGGCGGAACAAATGGAGAGTGGGCTTGCTCGTGCACGCCTCCGGACACGTGTTCCCGTGTCTGCGTGTCTCCTGATCTCGTCTCGTGCCTACCCACCTACGGGACGTAAACCTTTTAATCTGCCAGAGAGAGAATGAGAGAGCACGCATGCCCTGAGAGGGTGTAGTCACGCTGCAATCCCTTTCCTCCGTTCCTCCATCACGTTAGGACTGGGGCGTGCACGCACATGCACCCACGGTGCTCGTCAAGCTGCCAGGTCAGGGCAGTCAGCCATGTGGGATCCAGCTGCTTAACAGCGGGACACAGATAGGCTCTGTTCTTGCTTTTTAAGGAAAGGCATCCAGGAAGCTGGACTCAAACCTGCGGCTGGACTGCGGTTCTGCAATGTCCGCTCCGTCCCTCAGACCCACGCCAGCTGTCTGTCCTCTCAGGGGTGGCGCCAGGATAGCCCTACTCCAAGCCACGTGCCCACATCCTCGGTGCAGTCCTGCAGGAGCTCCACCCCGCAGCAGAGGCCTCAACGCCCGCCTGTCCTCACACTTGGGACACAGGTGGCTACGGGTGGGGCCCTCCCACCCCGGCGGCCCCAGTGCCAGCCCTGCCGAGACTGCCCTGGACTGGGCGGCTGCCCAGAAAGTTCAGATCCATGTTCTCTCCAAACAGGTAACCTTCAGGATGTGGTGTGTCGAATTTCTCGCCCCCCATGAAAAAATGCGAAGCAAAGTAGTTTCCTATTTGAAAAAGGAAATGCAGTTAGACTCGGAGGCTCAACGCAGCCCAGAGGAGCATCAAATGCCCACGGAGCCCAGCCCGAGAAAGGCTCTGTGTGACAAACGCCAGAGCAGGCTGGCCCTCAGCTGCCCTCCGCCCTCTGCCCCTCTCGGGCCCACCAGCCTCTGCACACCACCAGCCCCAGTGCCTCTCCCGCTCCGGACCCTCCTGCCTGCTCACAGGCTCATCTGCCTGCTCAGCGTCACTTCCCTCTATAGCGGCTGAACTATGTCCCCAGAAAGACACGTCTGTGTCCTGCCCAGCTGGGCACCTGCTCAGGTGGCCTTACTCGGAAATGGCCTCTGCAGATGTAGTCAAGTTAAGGTGATGTCGTCCCAGAGCAGGGCCCTGGCTCGGTGCCTGTGTCTTTATAGGAAGAATGGTCACGGGGACACTGAGTGAGCATCTGTGCGAGACGCAGGTAGACTGCAGTGAGGAGGTCGAGGCACACTGGGGCCGCCGGAAGCAGGTAGTGACAAAGGTGCTGGCCCTGGAGCCTGCAGAGGGAGTGCAGCCCTGCTGACACCTGGCTCTGAACTCCGGCTCCAGACTGAGAACATTCTTTCAGAGAGATTTTTGCTATAGGGCGCGTGCGCTCACCGGAGAGAGAGACAGAAAGCAAGAAATCACCCTCCCAGGAGAGAGGGCCACACCGCAATCCCTTCTCCTCCATTCTCCTCTCGGGATCTTGGGTACACACGCACATGCACCTGGCTTGAGTTTTAAGGCGCCGGTTCCGGGACTTGAACCACAGTCAACTACATTGGAGTCTAGTGATGTAACCATTAAACCCTCCGCTGGTCAGAGAACATTTCTGTTGTCTCGAGTCACCATCAGTGGTGACCTCGAACAGCCACCCGAGGAACCCCACCCTTGTTCCCCAGCACCACAGCAAGTCAGTCTCCTGACACCAAATCCAAGCCTGGGGACCCTGCAGCTCAGTACAGACCATGCTTAGAACACCCCCGCGAGGCCTGATGCTACAGCTGGCTTCTGCCGCGTCTTGGGCACATCTGGTTCAACTTCGCATCTCTGCTAGGAGGGGAAGGCGACCAATGCCTGTCAGCAGAGAAGCGAGCTCGCGGCTTCTGGGGAAGGCCAGGAGGACGGCCTCTCCTGAGCCTCCTGACTGGCCCTCTCTCTGCCCCATCCCACTCAGGCACAGAGGACCGAGGAGAGTCCAGTGACCATGGGGCCAGCAAATTTTGTAGGTGCTCAGACTGTGTGTCCCTCACCCACACGCTACAGGGGTCCCTGGGCACCTGAGCCCACATGGATGCTCTTGGGACCCTCCGTGGGAATTCTGGGTCCTTCAAGCTACCGAGGACACCCTGCACGATCTGTGCCCTCCTGGTGGGCATGGCTGTGGCCACGCAATGAGGCCAGGGGCTCCTCCCAAGGAGCGGGGCCAGAACCAGGAGGCCGGCCCAGCTGCTCCGCACTATAAGAATGCCAGTCCTGACCCAAGGCCCTCAGGGCCAGGGCCCAGTGGAGAAGGGCAGGGCGCAGGCGAACACACGGTACCCCAGCAGCGGGGGCACGGCATCGCCGTGGGCCAGAGAGCCCAGGTACACAGGCATGCAGCAGTGACCACGGGTCTGTCAGGAAACCAGAGGCCGAACTGGACGTGCCCCAATGTCCCACTCTGAGGGGCAGCTGCACACAGCAGGCGTGCTAGCAGGTGCGAGCACACAGTCATCTGAAAGCTCAGGCCCAAATGCGCGGGAAACCTGCCCACCCTGACGGTGCCCTGCCGTGAACATGCACCAGTGCCGTGCCTGTACGTCAATGAAACAGTAGCTGGTACAACTTGGCACGAGAAGCCCTCCCCTGGGCCTCCACGAACCCACTGCAGCAGCAGCTTTTTTTCCCCAGGTGACTTGAACCACAGTCACGTGCACTGTCATACGACACGTGCACTCGCCAGAGAGACACACACAGAGAGGTGAGAAATCATTCCCCGGGGGGATGGCTACACTGCAGTCCCTTGTCCTCCACCCTCTCGGGATTTGGGGCACACACGCACGTGTGCTGGCATGTTTTTCAGGCCACCAGGTCTAGGACTCGAACGTCAGAGTCAGCCTTAACCACCATGCACCCGCTGGCCCACACGGGAGCATTCTCATGTGTAAAGACTTACAGGTGATGTGTTCCACGCTGGCCTGTGGGGTGGGGCTGGGGACGAGGCATGTGAGACCTCAGCACAGGTGGTCCCACTGCCTTTCTGGCCTCTGGCTCCACCTCCAGCCAGAGTCCTAGAGCAAAGGGGGCCCTCAGTGGAAGCTTCGGGACGGCCCGCTCAGCCACCTGGCCTGCTGTCTGCCAGGTGCACAGAGCCTGTGAGAGCAGCACCGGCGGCTGGGCTGCTGGGACCCGCCCGGGGCTGCGGCGCCCCGCCTGTGTTGACCTCTTCTGGGACAAGTGAGGCCGCAGCGGCACGGGAGGCCCAGTGGCTCCGCAGACTAGACAGGGACCTGACTCTGGGCACCCTCAGTGGTGGCTGGGCCTGCACACACAGGCTGTGTGTCTGAACTGTCTTGTGGGGCACCCCATCCTGCAGCCAGGGGAAGAGCCATTTGTAAAGGCCTGCCCCATCAGACCCGTGGCACCCTCCTGCGGCCCCTCAGGGGGCCCGAAGCTGCCACGGCACCCCGTGAGCAGCCTAGCCGTCCCAGCCTGCACTCACCTGCTCCAGGACCTGGGCCCAGGGGCTCTGAGGCAGCTCTCCAACACCTCAGCTAATGGACAGTCCCCCTCTGCCCTGCCCGGGTGACCTGGGCACAGGGAGGTGAGCTGGAGGCGAGCTTCTCGGAGGCCTCCACGGGAGTCTGCGCAGGCCCGGATCCCCTTGCTCACACTCGTGTTTCTGTACTATCCTTCACCAAGGCCACGGCAGCAAGACGCAACCAGAACCGCAGCCCTGCTGGCCTGAAGCACACCAGGCACAGGAGTCCCGGCCAGGACGATGGGCGGGCGGCAGGGGCTGCGCTGCTCGGGCCCTGGGGCAGGCGCTTCTCTCACTTGAGGGTACACGCGCTCCATCATGGTGGGGAAAGCACACGAAACCCAAAGCGGAAAGCCGCCGGCCAGGTACCATCCCGGGACAGTGCTGCCCTGCACGGGCCCCAGGGCAGGCCGGCTAGCAGCCAGGGCTCCCAGGTGCACTGTGTGCCACTGGGCGGGCGGGCACAGGCTCTCCCCTCACGAAGTCGGACAGTCCAAGTGACTCAAACGAACCTACCCTGCAGGGAGGGCACATGGCCATGCAGAGACCTCCTGAGGCCAGCGAGTGAAAAGACCAAGCCTGAGGGCCAGCAGGTGGCGTGGTGGTTAAGGGGCTGGATTTCCACACGACTGACTCTGTGGTTCAAGTCCCAGATCGGCAGCTTCAAAATCACTGGGCACATGTGCATGCCCAAAATCCCAAGAGGGGAACAGAGAGGGGATTGCAGCATGGACACCCCACAGGGGTGATTTCTCACTTCCCCTTGTTTCCAGTGACTGTATGTGCCTTAAAAAAAAAAAAAAAAAAAAAAAGACAAACCAAGATTCCCAGAAGAGATGGAGCCTCGTCCTCTTCCCCAACTCCCCAAGTCCCCAACACCCCTGTCCCCGTCTCCCTGGCAAGCATCCACATCCTAATGGCAAAACCTTAAACACAGGATTGTCGTGGCAGGTGAGAGGGCAGGGCCAGGGGTCTGTTTCCCACCCTTGCGAGACGTGACATCACCACATGGCAGGGGAGGGCCCCACAAGGGGCAGACTTCAGGCCAGGACCGCGGTCACGGAGTCACGCTGCAGTCACCGGTCGGGAGGCTGTCTCCCCAGGCCACATGCTGCTTTCCTGGAAACCGCCTCCACACCCGGGGGCAGGCCCCAGCGGCTGAGCTACGAGGCTTCCACCGCTGAACTGCTGGCCTGCACCGAACCACCACTGTCTCCCACGGGACAGGGACAGGTGCAGACCCGCAGGACCTGGTGGGTGGCAGGCAGGGCGCCTCTGGTCAGGGTGGCAATTCTGGCTCTACAGTACGGGGATGCTGCCGGGCCAGAGGGAACAGGGTCTTGGGGCTCCACTGCCCAGTCCCTACTATGGGCTCCAGGACCCTGGAACCCCCGACACCCCACTGCCCTGCTCCCCTCCCTGGATCTCATAAATGCCGCCGAGCCGGCCCACTCCCCAGTCCTGCTCGAAATGTAATAATACGCACGTCAGTGGAGGACACCCGGAGACCAGCACGAAGAAGACAGTCACAAACCGGGGGAATCCGGGTACTTCAAAGGCGGAGGGACAGCCGGCCAACTCACAGTCACAAAGTGCTCGACTCGCGCTCCCCAGGGAGATGCCAAGCCACCCGAGAAATCTACGGCACGCCTGAGCAGCGAGAGCGACCCACACTCGCTGGCTCGGGCACTCACACACGCCCACCCCATCCACCGACAGGCGTCTGGCCCACAGCGCCTAAAGAAATCAGACGGGCAGCGCCAAAGCCAGCTACGAGGACGTCCACGGACGCACACTCCCACGCCTGAACCGGGACTCCCCAGGCCCTCGGTGGAACAGCAGCCCCACCGCTGCCGGTGTCACACGGCAGGGCTACCACACCTTCTGGCTCCAAACTAGGCGCGGGCACGTGCTCAGCTGGTGTGGGGCGAGGGCATCGGGGCCCAGCTACCTCCCTTCAAACCGCAGCACTGGCCTGGCCTAGGGCAAGGGGGGGAAGGCCAGGGAGGAGCGGGGTGGGCGGGGACAAGAGGGGACGAGAGGGGACAGAGGGGCTCAGGCCAGGGTGCTCTGCGTCATCCACAGTCACTCTGCGGTCCCTCCTCACCACACTGCACGCTGTAGTCTCCTACACATACATAGCATTAGTTTTACATATACACATGGAACCAGCAGATGGCGTAATGGCTACATCGCTGGACTCCCACATGGCCAACCACAGTTCGAGTCCCGGAC